AATATTATATTAGAAATAGAAAAATTATATATATATATATATATATATAATGCACCACATATATTTTTTTCATATTTGCAAAATATTATATATATATATATATATATAATATATTGCAAATATGAAAAAAATATATGTGGTGCATTATATATATATATATATATATATAATTTTTCTATTTCTAATATAATATTAAAAATAAAAATTATATTGATGTATATATGCAGCATTGCATAAAAATATGTATGTATATATATATATAGATTATATTATAAAAATGTATGTATTACAATAATATGGTATGTAAAAATTTTGGTATATTATAAAATTGTAGCATTATATTTAAAAAAAATAATATATATATATTTATATGTATATGTGTGTGTGTAACATTTTTCTTAAATATACATGTAAATCCAGTATAGAAACTATCAACATAAATATACAAATTTCACTTGAATACATGTGCACTTTCTGGGATATTTAAACGTTCACTCAACACAGTGGACCCTGAAAATTTGTGAGGATACCACACACAGTCCAGAGATGATTTACAGAACCAGCCAATGACAGAGGAATCACCCGATCGAAAATGTGATATTCCTTGATTCGACGAATGGCCCGTTCAATGTGAATCCTTAAAAGAGCAAAGTTGTGAGTGTGTGCGAGTTCCTCATGGCTGAACTGTCCCAATTGGGCAGAGAAAAGGTGGGATTACTACTGTGGCATGAATTTCGTCAAGTAGATCTTTGATTAAAAAGCCTTTGTCTGCCATCACAGCATCGCCCTCTTCCAGAAGATTCAAAATGACAGATGACTTTGTGATCTCTTTATCAGAGATGCTTCCTGTGTAAAGACTGCTCACAAAAGTCATGCTCCCATCCGGGGAAATTCCAACCAGAGATTTTAGTGTAGTTGTGCCTTTGTAGTGTGAGTAAGTCTCAGAGTTCAGTACCTTGGAGCTGGCAGTTTGGACTCGGACTTCAGTACAATCCAGGATGACTCTGGTTTTGGGGTAGAGAGCTTTAAAATACTCTGGCATAAGTTCATCAACTGCAGCTCTACTTGGCCATATAGGCAGACTCCCCAGCATGAAGTACAAATAATTTGCCCAGGTAACACAGATTCGACTGACTGTACTTTGTGAAATATTGAAACGCAGAGCAAGGTCTTGTTCAAGAAGGCCCAGTCTAATCCGGCAAAGAAACATGAAAAACTGATTAAACAGGGAAAGATGTTGTGCCTGGAATCCAACCCTCAGTGTGTGTTGGTTGGTTGCACTAATTCTTTGCACTTGAGCCCATGAGGCCATGCTCTGTGCTGTGGGCTGTAGAGCCAAGAAAACGGCTCTTAAAGTGTCAAAATCAGGGAACCCAGTGTAAAACTGGATGAGTTTTGGATTACTCATAAAATTCTGAATGCCAAACTGATGACTTTTGAGTGCCTCATTTTCCGCAGACAGACGAGAAATTTCCTCCCGTGCAGCCACAAGCTGCTCCTCAGTAGTCATGGGCTCCACACAGTAGTCATGATCGGTGTTTGGCATCTCTGTGACATGACTAGATTGAGAGAGAGAAAGAGCGAGAGTGCGGGCAAGTGAGATAAGTTGAATTTACACGCCTAGTCTATATTCATATTTATTTCTCACTTGATGCATTTATATACACATTCATTTTCTATGATAGATTTCTACTAACCATTCTTCGTTGCTTGGTCCATCCTTTGTAGAACTGGAGAGAAAAAAGAGAAAATTAAAACCCAGACATGTAACAATATTACATACCGCGTTTATGTTGGTTGGACAAAATAAAATGAACACCCATTATTATAATAACATGTGTGTAGGTTACAGTGGGGGAAAAACATTGTGATTATCATTTATTCATATTTTTGTTTATATTCTCTTGTTTGTCTATCAGTACAGCATAAGTGGTTTTCAGCAGTGTTTAGTACTGTCTGTGTGTGAAATGGGTAACAGGTTAGATATCCAAAAAGAGCAAATCATCAATGCCTGTTTAACAAAAAATCTGTAACCTTAAACTCAGTTGTTGTGCATTTAAAAGACAACTGATTTTATGATTAAGACTGTAATTATTATTATGACTTCATCAGCGAAAAAGAATAGAGCAAAAACAAAAAGTTAATGATAGGGGCCATCAAACACTAATAAAGATTGTGAACAAACAACACAAAACAACTTAATAAAGAAATATTGCCTATTTTGCAGGTGTTCACATTATTTTGTCCAACCTCTGTTCTGTCATTGATTGAACTATACAACTTACATATCACGCTTATATGATACACAAAACTTATAGAGTAACGTTATGTATTTACATGTTCATTTAAAATCATTATTTAAACAGTAAATTCATTCATTTTCCCCATTTCTGCTCACCTTTCATCTTCCTCATGTTCTTCCTCTAAATGACATTGTCTAAAGCAGAAACAGAAATAATAATGTTCTGAACAAAATTTTGATATTTTAAAAGGGGTTGACCTCAAACAGTACACAGCAAACTATTAAATATTTTATTTATTTATTTAGTCATTTATTAGACGCTTTTATCCAAAGCGACCACAACAACTTACTGACACTTATACTTACTTAAATGTTTATTTATGAATTCATTTCCTTATTATTAAGCACTGTATAATTGTAACCTACATATATATATATATATATATATATATATATATGTTATCTCTTTTGATCGCTTTGCATAAAAATAAAGTTTCTACCCAGTATTTTGTATGACTTAACATGTTTAACTTTTATTTCATAATAAATGTCTGAAAGGCGCTTACGATCTAGCTGCAAGCTCTTATCACAAATTAAGTATTTTAATCTATAACATCATTTGAAAAATATATCTGTTTCACTTACGATCGCAAGGTTTTCCTTTTGTAAGGCCGTTGAGTCCAGGTAAACACTGACGGAATTGAACCTTCCTTTAGCTTCCTGATTCCAGTCAATGTTCTTGAAAAACATTCCGGAAAGAAATGTTTCGAGCACACTCTTGTGTTCTTTGTAATCTATACAAAATGGAGACATTTAACCTTAGTTGTTGTCATCATATTTTAACATCATATTTTAGCTCTATGTAAGCGTTTAAAGGAAGATAAACATGCTCATATTAGAAATGAGCGATTAGCCAACAGGTAGTATCCACAGTCATTATTTTTTAAATAAATGCAATATTGTTACCTGAAAGTTAGGTCCTATGTCCCGTCGAATTTTAACAATCCACGTTTTCTGAAGTTCTTTGTCCTGTGGAAATTTGTGAAATGATGTATTCTCTTTATTTTGACGGCTAAACAATCGACATCCCGGTACACAACAATACGCCATAGTGAACGCTGCTGGACTGCTATACCTCACAGCCTCGTTTTCGAATCAAAATGGCGGCGGGCTGAATAAGGCGTATAGACATGGCTTATGCCTCAGAAGGCTTGCAATGCCCTATAGGTGTGAGGGCCCATTCCACAAGAGGGATGGCATCCTCCTGGGCGTGGTCCAGCAGAATTTCTATCCACATTTGCCAGATTTTATAACTTAGACATCCCTGCTTTACAGGCACGAGTTCTGTCTGTTTAATGCTCCACTCTTCCCCCTTGGGCGAAGTTGGTTATATTGGTGCTTCTCAGCTACTAGCTTGGAGCACAATGTGATTAGTTTCTTAGTGGTCCTTACTAGTGCTCCGAGACTGGGCTCGCAGAGCAGGATGTCCTGTATCTGCTCATAGCGCGGCGTGATTGGATGCGTTCCCCATACATAACGTGAAGTGAACGTTTGAAAGGGAACACTCCGGTTACTGACGGGCTAAAGCCCCATTGGTTTGTGCAAACGAGAACAAATCAGGCTTCAGTACAGAGTAAAACAGGAGTTTTCCCTTATCTCAGGGAACCGAGGTTACGTCACTAACCGGAGTGTTTTCTCTCAGGTACATCACCAGTGTAAGCTTCATGGTGAATACTTCTACATCACTCTTGTTAACGTAGTCCATACTTACAACGAAAATTTATCTTGACTTTATAGTGGTTATTTTGGGAAAAACAGTACTCTACCCCACTCCACCCTACTCTATTTTAACATTGTGATATTAAACATGAGCTGCGATAGAACACATCAAATGAACATGATTGTTTTGTGCTGGTTAAGGTGTGTATTGACGCACGGATCACCTGGACCAATCATATCGTCTTTTACCTTAAGCAAATCACTTTCGTTTTCTCAGACTAAAACCCACCTCATGTATGTGTGGCAACGAAGCATTGAAACAGGATAATATCGACAGTTTTATATTAATAATAATAATAAATATTAGATTATCATCTGAAATCGTCGGTTATCCACAAAAATGACCGAAAACAACCAAGAAGAGCAGCGGGAGCGATGCGAAGGTAGAACAATACATACTGTATAATCAGGTGACTGTTTAATATATCTCTTCAGCTATTAAAGGTCCCCTGAAGTGCCTTGAAACCATAGACTATAAAAAAAGATGGACGACGCGTCTCCTATTCCGTCCACTATATAAAAGTGAAGCCAAAGCATCTCAGTATGGCCGCTGCCATCTTGAGTAAATGACGTCATTTGGAGCCCGAGTCTGCGCAGTAGAGATTCGTTTGGAGCCAGAGTCTGTGCAGTAGAGATTCGTTTGGAGCCAGAGTCTGTGCAGTAGTGTCATAAGGTGGAGCCGCGGTATCAAACTCCCGCCCAAACTCCCGCAGACCCAATCAACCATAAGGACACGCCCCATTTTTATAGCATCATTACTAGCTAAAGTCAAACTTATCACAAAAACGAACAATTGAACATATATCAGGGTGATAACAACTACCTTAAATGACCAAAACCATCTTTCGGAAAATTGTATTGGAAGTGTAATTTTTTAACTACCTGAAAATTTATTTGAAGTGTAATTTGATTATTTATTTTGGCTCACATCCCATTTGTTTACATGGAGAGGGCGGGGTTTATGACCTGTACTGCAGCCAGCCACCAGGGGGCGATCAAATAGCCTGTAGCTTCAATTTTCAGTACGTGTGAGGCACGCAGCATTATTCTATGTGGTGACGTAATTTCAACTGAAACAGGAAGAGAGGGCGGGACATATCAAGCAGCCCAGCCCATTTTTTAAATTAGCCAATAGCGTTTTGTTTATATCTACACGGGTCACTGAGAGCCGTTGAGCTCGGTAAAGCCGCATTTGACAGCCACAGTCTAATAGATTACCCCCTAGATTCAATATGAAACTCTTAGTAAAACAAAATAGTTCAAATCGTGAAATTTGTGTCAAAACCCAGCCCTAGTCTGAATCGTTCCCTATCGCCTACATTGTGCACTACGAGTCATTCACTGTACAGGAAATACTACACTGTGAACAAGTGACGGATCTCAGCCGGCGCTTCAGCGTCTATTTATAGTGCAGGGGGCGGGTGCTTCGGATTCTAGAGAGCATTTGATTGGTCAGAAGATTTGATGAGAAGATGAAGTACGATGTGACGTAAAAACAATCGTTGAGTCGTTTTGGCGGAAGTGACGGACTGCAAGCTTGGAATGCTTATATCTTCTAAATGCTAATTTTGTCAGTGTTTTGGAGCACACTGCCTTATAGATAACCGTAAGACTAACATATTTATACTAACACCCAAAAAACTTTAATTTTGATTTCATGGGGACTTTAACATGAACTAAATTTTAATGTAAATTAACAATTTTTTGTTTCAGAAATTTGACAACAAAAACTATAGGCTAAAGGAAGTGCTCAGCATTAATGCTGTAAAAAAAAAAAAAAAAAAAAAACTTTCGGTATTTTTCATGGAACTCTAAGGGGTAGTTCACCCAAAAACCCTCATGTTGGTTCAAACCTGTATGAATTTCTTTCTTCTGTTTAACACAAAATAAAACATTTTGAAGAATGTTGGTAACCAAACTGTTGCTGGTAGCCATTGATTTCCATAGTATTTTTTCCATGCCGATGCCATACAATTTTGTACCTACTATCAACTGTTTGGTTACCTGCATTCTTCAAAATATCTTCTTTTGTGTTCAGCTGAAGAAAGAAACTCGTTTGGAAAAACTTGAGGGTGAGTGTGGGTCAGTTATGACTGTTTTAATATTTGGGTGAACTATCCATGTATCTTCCGAGAGCAAATAAGATTGACCAGCAGCCTACCAAACTGTTCAAAATGTTTAAAATGGAATACCCCTGAAATTAAGCTACATAATTAAATATCCAGTTGCCATAGAAACAGTCAGTGTTCTGAGACTCATGCTTAGGACTCCACATCATGCCCATTGGCTGGTTCAATCTGAAATATGTGCTTTTTAATGCTATATGAGCATGACTTGGTCTTGGTCTTGCATTCCCGAAATAGCTACCCGGAGGCATTGCAAATATGAGTGAACAGATTTTCCTTGAAAGGGACTTTGGCGCGCCGAAGACAGGATCCCATCTTGAGGCTTCCAGGTGCATGCTTAAAATCCCGATTACCTGACTTGGCACGCCCTCTACTGGTAAGTACTTCACTTTCACCAGCTTGAAAACAAAAACATGGCTGCATGTTCCTGCAATTACCTAGAATAATCATGTCCTAAGGTGGCTCTCTTTGTCCGCTCTGCTCTGACCTGGCTTGACTTGTTTAAGTACTGGACTGTTTTATGCAAGAGTATTTGCATAAAAGAGATGTAAATAAGGTCTAGGTGGGAGTGGGAAGCTGTCCTGTACATGTCCTAGCTGTTTTTATGATCTTTATTATATTTTCCAATAAAACAAACAACAAAACTGCATGTTTACATGTGTATTAAAGTTGCAGTATCATAAATGTTATTCATTTATCCCCAGAGGCCAGGTTTGTGGATGAAAACTCTGCAAAACTTATTCAAAGGGTTACTTCAGTGAGGCCAATAGCAGATGAACTACACAGCAAGGGCATGATACATGACGAAAAATATGCAGAGATCAAAGCAGAAAAAAAAAATCAAGATAAAATGAGAAAGTTCTTTGAATCATTAACATCTGGAGGTGACAAAGTCAAAAAGGCCTTTTATTATTTGCTGGAAAAAATTGAAGAACACCTCTTAAAAGACCTGGGTAAGAGAACATTGTCATTTATGAAAGAGATTATGAGTATTACAGCTACAGGTGTAATCTATGACCTGTACTGTGCTTAATGTTAACAGATGGTGTCAGCAGGACATGAAGCAGGAACCGCACCGGGCACCGGGTTTAGATTTTGAAACGTGCAGTGCTCATGTTTATTCAACGTGCTAGCATGTTCCTCTCAAAGTCAACCTGTTCTGTGAGTTAGTGGAGAACAGCAGCTAGAGGATAATTTAGTGACATTAAAGTTAGTTAAGCTGATAGAAGCTCACCTGCTGTTAGCACCGCTACGAGGCAATCACAAGACGCTCGGCAACCACTTTGTTGCAACCACAACCGTTTCTGAGGATCTACATCATTTGGTGGAAGAATAATGTTTTTATTAGTATCATTACATTTTATTATTTGTTTTATTTTGTGAAACCTTGCTACATATATGGAATAATCATTTATAAAAGCACGTGAAGCCGTGGTTTACAGTGAATTTATAACAGCTTAGCCTAAGGGGATTTTAGGCACTCCGCTTTGTGTCGTGCCTAACAATGCCCCTTAGCTGTTATAAATTCACTGTAAACCACGGCTTCTTGGGGCTTATTGCTTTATCACCTTGTTATTATTAGTAGTCAGTTCTTGTTGGAAAATATTTTGAAAAAGTCCCATGTTGATGGTACTGATAGTGGGACAATGTATATCTGCCAACTGTGAAAATGATTACGAATATGAAGTAAAAATTATCTGATATATAGGCATATATTAAAAATAAATTTTAAAACAATCAGAGTAAAAAATCTGTCTGTATGTAGGTCTAATATCCTATTTAGCACATTAAAAATAATGAGTGTTACTGTCCTGGGTTAGTGTTACATAGGGACAACAAAAGTGGTTCTTTGTGTTTAACCACTAATTGTGGAAAATAAGAATAGGTCTATGTATGCTTATTTTGTTAGTAGACAGATAAACGCATCTGATGTTGGATTTGTGTACAGCATAAAACAAAAAACGTTACAGCTGCATTACTGTATCAATGTTACAGTGCTTACACACAAAATCAACCACAATTGGGAGGAATATTCCATATAAACATCTGACTTGATGGTTTTCATATTGTATGAAAACTGTAAGTCCAACAGTGTTCATAATACATCCATATAGATTATTGTAGAACATGAATGCTTACTTTTATAAACTGTAAAGAAGCTAATATAAAATATAGTGTAATATATGAAGTATGTTTTATGTGCA